GAGTCCACCCTCCAACACTGCCATTTCCTTGGGGGACATTAATCTCTGTAAGTCTGAAGAGCACCTGTAATTCCAGGAGAACTCCAGGCCCCACCTGGACATTGGCAACCCTAGCTTCAGGGGAGGCCAGGAAGTGATAGCTGGTGATAGACCCCAAACGTTTATTTTCTGTTGATGGTGGTGGTGGTGGGGTAGCGGCTGGTTTTAATTGTGAAATTGCTACATTGTTCAAAACAGTACGTTGGATTGCTTTCAAAACAAGCTATACCCATGGTGCACTCTTGATTAAGCACTTGCTGGTTTTCAGTGGGGAATGTTTTAAGCATGTGCGGAACTCTCCCTTTGAAATCAGTAGGGTGAGGTCCATACTCAACACATTTGAGAGCCAAAACAGCGTAGTGGTTAAGAGCAGCAGAATCTAATCTGGAGAATCAGGCACGATTCTGCATTCCTCCACCCGAAACCTGCTGGTTAACTTTCAGCCAGTCACGGTTCTCTTGGAACTCTCTCAGCCCCACCTACCTTTCAAGGCGCTTGTTGTGGGGAGAGAAAAGGAAGGCAATTGTATGCTGCTTTGAGACTCCTTAGGGTAGAGAAAGGTAAAAGTAAAGGTTTCCCTTGCTCGAAAGCCAGTCGAATCCGACTCTAGGGTTGCGGCGCTCATCTCCGTTTCCAAGCCGAAGAGTCCGCGCTGTCCAAAGACATTTCCATGGTCATGTGGCCGGCATGACTAGACACCGAGGCCTAATGAGCTCCTGCACCTCTTTTTCTACAAAATGACCCTTGGGTCTACGGAACGCTGTTACCTTCCCACCAAAGCGGCACCTATTTACTTGCAATTTCTTGCTTTCGAACTGCTAGGTTGGCAGGAGCTGGGGCCAGAGACGGGTGCTCACTCCCTCATGTGGCACTCGGGTCTTGAACTGCTGAACTACCGACCTTCAAGTCTGCAGTTCAGCATCTTAACCGCTTGAGCCACTGTAGAGCAAAGCAGGATATATAAAAACCAACTCTTCTTCATCTTAACTTTGGCTGGATTGTGCCCTTTGATTCCCCCCACCCCAGGGTTTATTGACTGGCTGCTGCTAAGAACAAAGGAAATTTGCATTCTTCATTTTGACATGGATGTTGATATTTCATAAAGTTAAGGCAGTGTTAATAGCTGTGAGTTTTCCAGGGGTCATTTAGTAGAAAAAGAGGTGCAGGAGCTCATTAGCATAACTCATTAGCATAAATTATTTGCATATGCCACACCCCCTGACATCACCGGAAGTGTGTCAGAAGGCAACACCCACCGCTCAGGCTCCACTGGACTGTTTTGGATTGCTAGCTATTGGGGGGGGGGGAACATGCGGCGCGTTCCTCACCCAGGGGAGAACTTGTACCTGAATAAAACCTGGTCTTAAAGGTGCCACTGGACGATATTTGACTAGGGGGCGGGGGGGGGGCTCTGCAGCTTACCTGGCTGCTTCTTGCTGTGACTGAGGGCTGCTGGGAGCAAGGGGTGGGGCTTGTTGCATGTGCCCACCCCCCCTGGGTTCTTTACTGCCGGAGCTCTGCTCCTGTGCGCTCCTGCAGGAAATGACCCCTGGAGTTTTCGAGCTACGAACTCAGTGCAGTAACTGCAGCAACAGAAATCTGCCAGTGGACTGCGGAACTGTGTGCTGATATCTCCTTGTGGTTTTGCACTAGTTTACCCTAGCATGAGGGGCCATGGTGGCTCAAGTGGTTAAGACGCTGAGC